AAATTACTGGAGCTAAGAGCAAATGTATCCAAATTTACTAAGGGCAGGCTAAGCAAGAATTCAGAGCAAATGAAGGGATTTCAATTAATTACTGACCAAGGCCTCAGCGTGGCATGATAGGGAAAGATATCGCTAATATTCACCCTGAGGGAATTAAATGATGGCAAAAAAATAATAAATAACAATAATTATGATGAGGATAAAAAAGAAGCGGTAAGCTGGAGCTTAACATAATTAAAAACCTTCTAAAGCAAGATTTTTTTTGTAATTTTTAATTCTTCTGCAGTGAACCGCCAGTGTCTGTGAAAGAAAAGCTCAGCTGATTTCAATTTTTGACCAACAGTGGCACTAACACACACACCTCCATTGAATTCCATTCATTTTAGTGACTCCACTGCGTCTAACCCATGCCCTAACCCTAACTGTGACCAATGGGGTTCTTTTCCTGACCCTAACCTAAACTAAAAGTTCTTCCACACCACCATACCTCTAAAGTCAAGTTTTAGGCTGCTTAGCATTGTGTGGACCAGCAAAATGTCCCCACAACATGGAAATGCCCACACTTTACCAGTTAAAGTCAAACTTTATCCAACATATAAAGACAAGTACACACGCACACACACACACACACACACACACACACACACACACACACACACACACACACACACACACACACACACACACACGCGCGCACACACACACACACACACACACACACACCTATAATCCACATAGAGGAAACACCCTTTGCACAGGTCAACAGTGAATCATGCAGCCAATCAGAGACCTGAAGAAGCCCGGGCTCTGTGTGTTTATACTGTATTTATGAATCTCTCCAACGGCAAATTGTAAATCAACTCGAATTTCTTCACCATTTAATCCACTGGCTTTTGTATTAACATAGTGATTACGTCTTTAGGGGAAACACGCATGCATGCACATGCACACGCATGCACACACACTCACACACACACGCATGCTCACACACTAATCCTAGCTGTGGGGGTAATAGATTTTAAACACACAACCCCAGCAGGGATAAACAGCAGGCCGACCCATGAACCCGTCCTCCTGTCCTCGTCTTCTCTTCATCATCTTAAGTTAAAAACTACCCTCACACACACACACACACACACACACACACACACACACACACACACACACACACACACACACACACACACACACACACACACACACCTGTCTCCAGCAGACATAAATAGGTCAATATACATCTAATAAATAAAGAAGTGTGGATTCTAGAGAGCCTCTCTCTATCAAACAAAGCTTTTTCCACAAACCTAATGCGGGATTGTCACTTTCCACCTTAACGCCTCATTTTTAGATATAAGAAGCTTCATCATGTCAGCAGTAGACACCTCTATTTGAAAAGCAATCGCTCTCTATAAAAAAAGAAATATGTATTTATAGATGGAGTAAAGCCTGTTTATGCACTGGGCCTGTGAGCAATCTGAGATGAGGGATTAAATGGTATAATTTACTACCAATATAAAGACTGTTTGATCTGAGCCAAAGGATCCAGGTCCTGACATGAAACCTGTAACGATTAAAGCAGCAATGAGCCCGCTAAGCCTTTTATTAGCAGCTACATTTTTTGTGAGGCCATGGTGCAAAAATAATAGAACCTAATTAATTTATATAGAAAAAGCTCCTTCATCTCAGGAAGCCATCACATTAAAATAAACGGATAATTCCAAGTTGTGGCTCTTCAAGTACACAACTAATAATTCAGTTAATAGAAATAACTCATAGTTTCTCAGTATGATTCATACATTAATGGACGTTAACGGAGTTAACGGTGGGAAATGGAGCAAATTCCACCCGTTTCCTGTGATTGCTGCCCGAACTCCATCTTTATTCATAGAGACCACACCAGAAAAGAGCCAGCTGACCTACATGGACACATTTACATCTCTTTCATACCCTCACTCACTTTGTGTAGCTGGACATTATTCCTTTTCCCTCACTGTCCTTTTTGTTATTTCATACAAACCTTTCAACCTCTGAAAGCCGGGTCGTTTATAGACGCTATAGTGTGCTACCACCTTCTCCTCACCACAGGTATCTGAAGAAGACTCCCCCTCTCCCCCGCTCTCCATCTCCTTACCCAACCATTCTCCCCATCCTCAGATAAGAGTAAATGAAATGGTTCCTTTCACCCCTTCTATCTAGGTCGAGGTATGAAATACGCCTTGCTTCATAAAGAGATGGAGAGGAATGACTTGTGACCCACAAAAACCTTCCAGATAACTATTTATTCACTTATCTGTGTATTTACTGTTACACATTTTTAAGGTGAGGCTGTGGGGATTATGGTATATAATCTATAAATACTGATTATGGAAATGCAAAAAAATACATCTAGATATTTGTTTGTCCGATAGAGTCGATTAAGTTTGAGTTTGAAACTCTAAAATCCTTGATTTTTAGTGCTTTGCTGAAGCAAACGATGAAAAAACTAAATGAAAATCAAATCCTCTGTAATACGAGTGTTCACAAAAGGGTCCAGCTGAGATTTTGCCTCCAAACTGGTAGATTTTTGTCCCTGAATGAACAAATGAACTCCCAGCTCCCACGAATTCAATCAACAGCGGCCAGCTATGAAGGTGTCTTTGCAAATTGGACACAAAGATTTAGCCAAATTAGTGCTTTTGGCTTCTGAGAGTCTTTCTCCAAAGCTACAGCCAGAGTCTCTGGAGGGAGCGACGTGTTGGCAGAGCCAGCAGCTTGGTTTTCATGCTGCTGAATCAGAGAGGGACAGACACGGCCAGGGGACCTGTGCTCATTATGCATCCCATGTTGTATTTTATTTATTTACCCTTTAAAGGAGCTGACTTCAGAGTCCAGCACATCCCTTAAAGGTTTGATTGATTCAGTGTTTCCGGAAGGGGAAAATGAAGATAAAGGTAAACCGTTGGCGCACCCCTCATCCAGAAAATAAGACTCTCTGTCTCTTTTTCTTTTTGTCATTTTAAATCTCTTCTCTCATCTGCCTTGTCACGCTTTAATGGTTTAAAAATACACAAACAGAAGGGTTCTTGGTGTTTTCTCAATATTCTGTCCTGGATGATGAAAAAGGAACCAGGTATAAAATGGGCTGCATGTTATTTTTAACGGAAATCTGTTTGGAAAGTTATTAAGAATACAGATGAAGGGAATTTACTTGAGCAAACAGAGAACTGAGAGGAAAAAGCACAAAGAATTTTGTTGTATTATCTTTTTCTTTCTCATCGGATAATTTTAAATATATATGAAAACTTGATCTTTGAAAAATATTTTTCTAACAAATGTATGTGTTTGCAAATGTATTCAGTCAGAAAATGATCTTTTTCCCTATCCTCGGTCTGGAAAAGATTATTTTAGATTAGAGTCAAATTTTCCTTGACTTATGCTGGACCACTTCCCATTCAGCATGCCTCTATTACCATAACAATCCATGATTATGAAATTCAGCTCATTACCATCACAATTACACAGAAAAGATGTTTAAAATATTTAGCAACAGTGCTACTCCTGCAGAAATTATTCACTAAAGTGTCAGACGACTGAGAAGATATTTGGAAAATTGAAAAGATGCAACTTCAATGAAGTGGTGCGTCTAGAAGGAAGGTAACAAAATAAAAAATTTAAAAGGCAGCGTTGATAATAAAAATTTACCTAAAAATAAAGAATGAATTAGGACTAAATAAGCACACATAAAAGCTACACCTTGCTGAGGTGAACTTTAGGCCCATTCACACACACACACACACACACACACACACACACACACACACACACACACACACACACACACACACACACACACACACACACACACACAAGCATGCAGCTTGTGTCACACTCGATTCCTCCCGACCTCTCTGTTCCTACCTGACATTTTTCTGCTGTAATCGTTTTAAGGCGTTTCGGCTCTCTGACATCTACAACTTTAGCTCCGCTCTTCCCGTCAGCCCCCGCGGTTCACTGGCTTCACTGAAATGGGATTCGTCCTGCTCTTTATTTTATATATTTAATTTTATTTTATTTTATCATATTAAATTTATTTTAGGACGCTCTCTGTCGGTCACACGATTAAACACAAAGTATTTAACCAGAGACAAAATGCGGAGACAATTTTGTACAAATCCAACATGAAGGTTGAATTTATTTGACTGGATTAGACAAGAAAAAGGGCTTTAATTAAGCTAGTCGTTTGTATTGTGTCTTCACAATTTTAATCTCTATCTTCTTAGAGTTTAATGTAGAATTCATTGCTTTCTTAATTTTTTGAAAGATGTGGAGCTCTGTAAAATAAAACAGGTATTTTATTTAATAAACCCAGATTTTCATGGAGAGAAGCGTCCAGTGTCTGAGGATGTGCAAGGAGAAAACCAAACCAGGGCCCGTCATGTCTGAGGTCCCAAGTTAGATAGACCACCCCTCCTGCTCTACTGAAGTGTCCTTGAGCAAACGGTGAGAAGAAGAAGAAAAGATGAGTATAACCTGCTGAGGCCAACCAGCATGCTTGAGCTGAGATTCGTGCGCGTCTGTGCAAAACGTTACCAAACACAACCTAACACCATCGATCAAGTCCAGCTATGGCATCTCTCTCTCTCTCTCTCTCTCTCTCTCTCTCTCTCTCTCTCTCTCTCTCTCTCTCTCTCTCTCTCTCTCTCTCTCCTCCAACACAGAAAGCCTCATCCCTCCATTTATCCCCACCTTTCACCTAAACTTTCCAGACAGCAGCAAAAAAGACGCACAAACAAGAGAAACCAAGTGTGTTTAAACTTGAACAAAATGGAATATTTGGGGGACTTTGTGTAACATGCTTCTAATTTCAATTCAAACGATTAGAAATGTACTGCAAGCCACACTAATTGTATATAAAAGTAAACGATTTAATAATTTCAATTAGCAATTAGATAGCACTAGCAGAGTTTAGGACGCGTCTGGGTTTTCAGATGGGATCATGCAAATGAGTTATATTCTGAGCAGAACTTACTGTGCATTGCCGCAAACGGGTCGTGCTTACAGTGAATCTCCATCCTAACAGCCAGGGCTGCAGGGGGGGGGAAGGGGGTTTAAGCAATGAGGGGGTCTGAAAAACACCACCCGCTTCAGAAAGACTCCAATAAAAAGAAAATGCTTCCCTTGGAAGAAACGATTGTTTGTTTTTTCCTTAATTAAACTAACGAAGTTAAATTAACGGGTACAAATAAAACTTGCAGATATAAAAGAAAAAATGACTGAAACGAGGTGGCGAGTTTTCTCCTGGGAACGGGACAAAACAACGGATTCGGTGCGGTGTCTCCTGAGCCAGAGGAGGAAAGGCGCTCATTCCTTCAGCTGCGCGTCATGTTGCGCCAGTCCCGGGACTCGGAAATCTTCGTTTTCTCCAGAAAAATACAACAAAAATAAAAGCAGAGCAGAAAAGTGAAGATTTTTTCCCTTTCTCCCCCTCTTTCTCTCTCTCTTCCCCCTTCTCGGTTCACTGGCTGTGACCTCTGAACTGCACCGATGGAGGGTGAACTCTTCTCAGTCTGTTTGGAAAGATTCGAGTAAAATAAAATAAAAATGAAATAAAAAGACAAAAACTTTTGTTAAAGATCCACTGGTTGACGTGATGCTCCAGGTCCTCTGTGCATTTTCTCGATTAATGAATCGCCCTCGGGAGGTGTGTGTCACGTGAACACTTGACCATTTCCCGTGAACACGGCGTGAGTGCGCACAAGTGTTCACATCTTGATCGACATATTCCAGAAAAAAAGCCAATAAATGAAAACTACAAAAAGTAAAATGCGTAAAATAAGACTTCTGGTTTGCTGCTTGTCCGTGTGTGTGTGTGTGTGTGTGTGTGTGTGTGTGTGTGTGTGTGTGTGTGTGTGTGTGTGTGTGTGTGTGTGTGTGTGTGTGTGTGTGTGTGTGTGTGTGTGTGTGTGTGATCTATCGACAGAGCTTCTTGGCCACCCCGTCACGTCCTGAGCTGTGTTTGGAAGCGAATCACTGGCGCTGGAGATAAAAAAGAAGAAAGGAAGTCCAAATTCAAGGTCTACTTTTCTTCGCGCTCAGTCCACAGAACATCGAGGTGTGAATGCGCACATAAACAGGTTTCTTTAACCGTGAAGCGAACAGCCGCCCGCGCCCAGCCTTCCCGGTGGCGCACGGCGCGTTTCAGGACCTGTTCTCCTGCGGACAGCGCCCGCGCTCCCAACCCTCTGGAACCCTAACCTACACGCTGTCCGTCACTCAGACGGAATTCGGCCAATCACCACTCTAAGTAGAGAGTCACGTCACGACCAACCCCAGGTAGGATCGGGCAGGGGGAGGGCGCTGATTGGCTGAAGCGGAAGCCATGATCCAATCACGCGTCGCGCGCTTTGTCCCTTCACCAATCGGGAATCTCGGTGATACGCAGCGGTGTATCACATTTTTTTAATTTCAATTAACCAATAATAAGATCCAAAGCCTTTTAGGGGTTTGCTCTCGATTTATTCATGTCAGTATTAAAAGACTGTCACTAAAAATTAGGCCCTAAAGAACTACAGCAGAGGTCCATCTCTGTTGGATGTAGGTGGAAAAATAAAAAGAGCTTGAGAGGAAAAATCAAACACACACATGTTCAGTTCTGGATCAACATTCTTCCATCCATTTTCTTTGCCCGCTCTTCCACGCAGGGTCGTGGGGACCGGCCCAGCTCCCTAACAACTACGCGCGCGCGCGCACACACACACACACACACACACACACACACACACACACACACACACATACACACACACACACACACACACACACACACACACACACCCGATAATTTTAAGAGACAACCAACCCAACAGTCAGGACTGTGTGGAAGTCGGAGACAACGCGTGCCAAGGGAGAACATGCAAACTCCATGCCGGAAGGCCTGAAAGCCGGGTTTTGAACCTGGGACCTTCTTGCTGCAACAACGCAGCCCCACTCTATTTCAACATCTGACTGCTTTACCCGTTTTAAGGCCTCTAGTTAACGCGAGTGTCACAGTGATTTCCTTTTTCTCCTTCATACATTTCTACCTAGAGGGGAATCAGATGCAGACATATAAAACATGCATTCCTTCTCATTACTAAATTGATCCAAGTGTATATTTTATAATGCAATGCACAGAGAAGGAGGTAGTTTCAATCCATAATCGTCCCCCCTGATTTGAGAAGTCGCACAAAACCCTCAATTCCGGGATGTGAAGAATAAATAGCCTAAAGCACGAGACAAATTAGAAAGTCCTTTTCCTTTTAGATCATAGAAGAGTTAACCCTCTGCAACGTTAAACCTTCCTGGTTTCTCCACATACGTGTTTCATGAGCATTTTTTAACTCAGGAGGGTTAAACGTGTGGCAGAACACTCTCAGGCTCAAAATGCGTTTTGATGAAATGACGAACAACCAAGTCCTTCAGGGGTTCCTCTGAGTTAAAAAAATGCTCATGAAATACGTGTGTGGAGTAACCAGGTGTGTGTGTGTGTGTGTGTGTGTGTGTGTGTGTGTGTGTGTGTGTGTGTGTGTGTGTGTGTGTGTTTTCGACCCAGCTTCTCTTATTTTCCCTTTTTGAATTTGTTCATCTGCTCATTGTCCAATAGGAAGGCCTTCAGCTGAACACAACCAGACACTCGTTGCTGTGTCATTACGACAGAAACCATTCTAGACCTTTTTTAAATGTCACTAATTGTTTTATGTTGTATTTCCGGCTGTAATACATGAACATTTGGTGGTTTTGGTGGGTTGGATTTATGTTTTCTTGAAGATGGAAATTATTCAACCACTAGGGGGCGCCCAGCTGTGAATTCCGCTCTGCGCGCAAACAGACTAAAGCACGTGCACAAAAGTGCACATTTACATGCTGGAATTAACCAATTTGACTTTAAAGTCTTCTGAGTTTTCAGGTCATAATTATGAGACTGGACACCTGTTAATGACCAGAAAAGATAAAAATGTCATCAATCTTAATTTATCTCATTAAGATATTTTGAAACCACACGACACTAACATGTGTTTTTAACTCACTGTGGGGAAACGTTTAAGAAAAGAAGTCATATTTAATTTTTTTTGTTATATTTTACCTGAAATTCCCCTCGAGGCCTCACGCAAACGGATGAATCAAACCAGCTGTGTTTAGCTGTCTTTTTAAATCTGCCTGAATATGAAAGAACATCATTTTTATCAAGGAAAACTTGAATATTTGGATTTAGGTTTTGAAGGCCTGAATGAAGGCCACGATTGGGAAAAATAACTAACGGAAGAAAATCAAATGATTTGGTTCCGGTTATTTTTAACACATCACACATGAATGAGCGGGTCTGAAACTACAACGTTTTACGCATTTCTACGTCAACCTTCACACATCCAGAGTGATTTTATTTATTCAGATTCTGAAACTCTTGCCACAAAAAGTAAATTGCAGTCATCGCCGTCGTCTCTTCAAGTTGCAAATTAAAAATACAAGCAATTAAAAAGCCCAAACACAAGCAATCATGTATACAAATTGTTGTTGCTTTAGGGTTGGAAAATCGGAGAAAACTTCCATCAGGGTAGGACGATTTTAATCCGGGGGATCCAACCCCATTACCATATTTCATTACCTCTCCAGAGCTGGAAACGGGAGGGCGCTGCAGGAGGAGGAAGAGGATCCTTCTTTTTTACAGACATTAGCGAGAATGTTGTGATAATCAGGTGGATGCAAATTGAAGGTTATGTTGTTGTTCAAATGTTCCACTTCCATCCAGCCATCCTGAAAGCTTCGACTGTTTTGCCCTATTTTTTTCCAGCGGAGCCACAAAAAGCAATGAAAAATTAATAGCGCATGTTAACTCCACCAGCTCGTTTATTACACGCCCGCTGACTGTAAACATAATGAGAAAGCTCCCGTATCTCCCCTTAGTTGCTCCTTTTTGTGGCTTGTGAAATGTAAAAGTCATGAGGAAATCCTGGGTGTGGACCGGAGGGAGAGTTGCGCAGGTAAACCGTGCAGGCGCCTCTCCCTCATACAGGCCTCATCACTTGTAATGATTACGTAGAAACCTCTGTCACCTGTCAGGGAGCGCGTGGGTCCGGGTCACCTGACGGAGCATCCGGGGGGTCTAAGTATTAATTTCCTTACAATTTGCTTGCTTGTCTGAGTTTGTATCTCTGTTTGTTTCACTTTACCAGCATAAGATCAGAGCGTTGAATCTTTACATTGAAGAAAAAGCGCACAGAAGGAAGAGAAAATTTGTCAAAATAATTCATCTGCTGTTAAAGCTTGACCTTATAAATAAGGGTGTTTCAGCGTGCCCAAACATATTTTATTTGTATTTATTAATTTTATCTGTCTCTCGGGGATTTATAAAAGCAGCCCAATAGTTTAGAGCTCACTGATATGCGCACTTTTACGCACTGCGCCATCCTGATGGGGGGTAGGAGAGAAGAGGGGTTCCGATAGCTCAGTCTTCACTTGACTCCGCTTTTATAACCAGAGCACGTGCGCAAGAGGAGATGAAGAGGCTGTAGGTATAGGCCATGGGCCCTCAAGGCTCTTCACACCAACAGAGGAGGGCCTCCTTTAAATTCTGATTTCCTCCGTGGTTCTGAAAGGATTTGATTCAATTGGCAGAAATCCCCGCAGCTCATAAAGTTTATCGGGAGTTAGACGCACTCACAAGAAACAATACGATTATAAAAAGACTCATGAACGTCATTTTGTTAGAATCCACTAAAGTATTTTAAGACCATTGAAACACTATTTCTAAATATCTGCCCATTTCAATGAATAACCATAAATACAAGAGGATGATTAAGACAGGTATTTTCTTTCATGTGGTGGTGTGGGGAGAGGGGGGGGGGGGGGAATCATAATCCACAGTTTGAGCCTAAAGAGTCTGATCTGCTCACAGACTCCTAATGACAAACGACGTTTTATCAATGCAGACGCAGCATGCAGCAATATGAAATGAAGTGACAGCCATTGGGTGCCATAATAAGGTCGATGGCTTGATTCATTGCTGTTCCAGACCCCGCTGTTTCATGGCTGCGCATGCAGACGACTAACCTGTTGAATAAGTCAAAAGGAAGAAGAAGAAGAAGAAGAAGAAGAAGAAGAAGAAGAAGAAGAAGAAGAAGAAGAAGAAGAAGAAGAAGAAGAAGAAGAAGAAGAAGTGACTCGCGACTCAAGCTTCTGATTAAATCAAACTCAGAAAGTGGTGAAACTGTTCTAGGAGCTAAATGACGTGGTAACGTTTACGCCACAGCTTATTGACATGTCTAATAAAGAAAATCCACTGAGATCTTACAACGTCCATCACTTATAGGGCTGACCTGCAAGCACAGCCAAAAACATAGTGCCTTTTCAAAAAGTCCTCAGCAGTTTCACTAATTTATTTAATTTTAAAAAGATAATCGTTTACATAAAAGTTATAACACGTTTCTGTTTAATGTCATTGTCTTTGTGGATTCAAAATCCGGCGGGCCGTCTGAGCAAGAAGTTTCAAAACTTTTGAAAACTTTGCTAAATCATCATTGGAAGAAAAAAGAACATAAAGAAAGAAAGTAAACACTTGTCCAGTATTTTAGAGTTTTAGATAAACAAGATAAAGAGAACATGAGGCTGAAGTAAGAGGAGAAAACTTGAGATTATGCGGTGTCATCCTACCTGCTCTCCCCAGCCGTAGCGCGGGACTCTTAGGCCCCTGGTCCATGTTACCGGTTAGAAAGAGAGAAGGGGATGGAGAAAGAAAAAAAAGAGAAAAAGAACAAAAACTTTTCCCCAATAGTCTTTCTTCCCCTCCCTCCCTCTCTCCCTCCCTCCCTCTCTCCCTCCCTCCCGCCCTGTCTCCTCTCACTCCTTTTCCCTCCTCCTCTCGTCCTACAGTACTACTTTTGGGGTTGAAATAATTCGACCCTTCCGCTCCCTTTTGCACTCCCAGCAAGTGTTCACTCAGCTGCAACTAAACGCTTTAGCTGGAAAAAAAGGTTTCGGGGGGAAGCGTGAAATGATCACGCTGAGTAAAAAGAGCCCCTCTCTCAATGTGCGCTCATGTCCTGTCCCTCTACTGCGCGAGCTCGCACACACCAATGAGATGCGCGCCCACGTGCGCGTCTCAAAGTGCGTCTCCTCCATCCTTCCCAGCAGGGCCGCGCCCCCATCATTCGCATCTGTTACTAAGTTCCACTTTACTAAACTTTCTCTCCCTCGCCCCGTGTGTACCCCCCTCTCTCTCTCTCCCTCGCACTCTTCTTGTCTTCACCTCTTTCAAGTTAGATTCATTTCCTCTGGTTCACACCCCGCCGACAGTTCTGGAGGTCAGTGGGGAACATATCACGGCATGCGTAAAACCAGCGCGGGGTTTGTTTAATAGGAGAAAGTTTATCATGAAACGAAGTTAGTGATAATCTCAACTTTTTCCGCCTTTTCCAAAAAGAAAAGAAAGGCACTTGCGAGAGATTTTTGGTCTACTCTGGCTGCGCACACCTGTTACACACGAGGTTCTTTACGCATTACGCACGGAGAGGACGGTGAAGGCACTTCTTCAGCCTCAGCGCTCTGCAGAGAGCGGGAGAGAGAGAGCGAGAGAGAGAGAGAGAGAGAGAGAGAGAGAATGTACCTCATTGTAGCGATGCGCAGCGTGTTTGCCACAAATCTAATAGTTCCGGTGTTCAACACCTGCGCGCGTGCGTAACTCTTCATTTAAATATTCATAACCGAAACATTTCAGTGATATTCGACCTT